CCTACTCCCTCTCTCTCAGGATTTTATGTCTCCTGTGTTTTCACCTCCATTCTGCTGTAAAGTTTGCTATTATGTGTTCCTTTATTTTATTTTTTTAAGAGGGTGAAAAAAATCTCTAGTTTTAGTAGCAAAATAAAGTACTGTGAAGGAGAATTTCTGTAAAGAAGCTGTGTCTGCAGAGGCTGACTGACTGATTAGAACTTCAAAGACTGTGGAGAGTTTGGAATGTTGCCAATTCGAGGCAAATTATCTTGGGATATCTTATAGTCCCCTAATAATTTATTGCCCTCCTGTATACAACATGACCTACTATCTTTTGTGACTTTAGGTAAATCATTCAGAACTTGCAGAGAGCACTAGTTTTCCCTTCGAGTGTATTTAGTAAACCACTACCTTCCACCAACCCGAAAGCTTAGGAGTATCATCAGTCCACACACCTGAGACTGACAGCTGCATTTCTCCGCTTTGTTGTAATCGTCTGTTTAATGTTTCCACCAACATATCTGTATTGATTTATGACTTTCTTTGTTTTGTTACTATAAAAACTTCATGACACCACTTCCACGTTGGAACTTGGAATTTTGGTGACTTAAATCTGTGTTCCTGGGCCATGGTCCCTCATATTTGGCCTCAGAATAAATTATCTCTTATCCCCTTTGAGTCAGAGTTATGTTTTTGCACATGTACAATACTGGACATTGCAAAGAAGCCTAGAGGAAGAAAGTCGAAAGTTCACTCTGAAGAGATTAGCTCTGTTTGGGTATGAGAAAGAATTCACCCGCAGATGGTCAGACCCACAGTTTAAGACTGAGAGCCTCATCTGTACTGTACTTGCAAAAAAGGCATTTTAAAGAGCAGTGGGAAAGAGGGGGAGACAAAGCTGTGAATGGCAGCTGCACCAGCAGAGGGAAGATTGGCTGGGAGAAAGCCCAGCACTTGACTAGAGCAGGCAAGGATCCAGTTTAAAAGAATCTCTGCTGAGGATAGACACAGAAGAGAAAAAAGACCTTCTCTGAACTGCACTCGGGAAACCATAGCAAATGCCACAGGATTCTGAAACTTTGAGTCAGGACCACATAGCATTTGGCAAGATGACAATCTGGCCTGAGTCAGTCTGGAGTAGAACACAGATACAGGGTCCAAACTTCTATCCCAAATTCAGAAAGGGTTGCCCAGAGGTGTGATCAGCACCTGCTACTCAACCTGTGAAAGACCAGCAAGGGGCATTAACATTGTCAAATCAGGGAGAGAATGCCCAAGCAAGACATCACCCTCACTCTGCATCCTTAATTAGTTCTCTTCCCTTCATTTTTTCACTTTTCTTACTTGATATCTAGTGTCAATTTACTGGACTAGCTTTTTGCTGTTCCATTCTTATTCTCTTTTATCCCCTTACCTTTTATTTTCTTTTTCTTTTAGATAGGCTTTCCCAAAGAAAGCCTGGAGTTGGGAGAGGGGTGTCTCCTTACATTGGTTTCCTGAGAGCTGAGATTGTTTCAGGTTGTCTGCATTTCTTTAGATCTCTTTTTGTTGTATCTTTGGCCAGAACTGCCTTACCTCCTCTCCTTACTATTGTTCCCACTTCTATTTCTTTTTCCCTCTGTTTTCTCTACCACCCAAGTCTTACCCAGCTTGTTATCTTTGCATTCACACCCTCAGTAACTAGTATCTTAGAGGACACATTACTAGCCATGTTCCTTTACTTCTTAAAATTATTAGCAATAGGGGGTGATTGGTTTTTAAATTAACCATTCCTTTTTAATAGACTCTTACAGTATTTCCATAGTGGGTTGTCCTTCAGTTGTGACTGCTTCAGCAGATAGTATTCTACCTTCAGAGTAGTACTGGGAATTTGACCTGGTACCTTAAGCATGTTGGCTGAAGTTATAACTACTAAGCTACACCCCTAGTCCAACAGAAAAAAACTAACACCTCAATCTTATTACAGCCTAGTCTCACTTGAACATTGCAAACAGTTCCACTGAAGAAATATGAGATTATAAAACAAATCCAACCAATAGCCTAATCCCAGATGCAAGTCTCTACACAGAAGTATAGAAGATATTTTATGAAATATGAATCCTTTGAAATTTACTGATCTCACAGTAATGGACTTCACTGGGAATAATTATATGAAATCCAAGACAACTCAAATGATTATGAGTATGTTCAAAGACATCAAACAGGACATAAACCTCTGAATGACTTCAAAGACAACTGAAGCCAACAAGTTGAATGAAATAAGCAAGTCAGTACAGAAAGTGAAATTGGATTCAATAAAAAGATAGAAATGCTGAATAAAATTAAACTGAAAAATTGGAAATGAAAAGTTCAACAGGACAAAAAAAGTCAGTGGAGAATCTCACCTATAAAATGAACCAAATCAAAAATGGAATGTGGTGGCTTGAAGACAAGCTAGAAGATTTAGAATATTCAGATGACAAAGATAAATTAATAAGAAAATATGACCAGAATATATGATATCTGTGGTACACCACTAACAAACCAAATGCATGACAAATAAGTAAATATTTTTCATAACTTAGAAAAAAAGAATTTTATGCTATATGAACAGAAAATACATTCAATAAAACAAAGCAGAAAATTTCCCAAATCAGGCTCATTTCATAATTGTAAAGGCATACATTAAAAAACTTAAGAGAAATTCCAAATAAATAACTTGATATGCCCCAGGGTTGTAGAAAATCAAGAATAAACCAAAGCCAAAGCAGTAGATGGAAAGAAAGAATAATGGTCAGGGAAAAATTTATGAGGCAAAAATTAAAAGAATAATAAAGAATTAATGAAATAATTTGTTCTTCAAAAAGACAAACAGGATTGACAAACCTTTAGACAAACTATACAAAAGTGAGAAGGCTTCAATTAATGAAATTAGAGATGAAAAAGGAGATATTGCAACAGATACCAATGAAGCTCATAGGATTATAAGAGAATAATTTGAAAATCTATATTCTAATAACCTGGATAAATTTCTAGACACATATGACCAACTAAAATTAAAACAAGATTCTACAAACAACTCTAATGACCTGAAACAAGCAACAAGAGTTATAGGAGATAATTTAATACTCTACTTCCATTTAAGTATGACTATTTCCATAATAAATTGCTTACAGTGAAGCTTTGGTCTAGAATAGAATACACTTAAGAGTGACAAAATCTGTTTTTAAAGTTGAAACCTGAACACTATTTGAGCTATTTAGGTATGGACACAGTATGCTTGCAGTTGACTTAGAATAGAGAATTCATGCTTGGCAAAGAAATCGATCCTGGAACTTAGTTTCTGGTGTCACTAAACTCTGACTCCCTGGCATACTGTTTGATCTTTCATATATATATATGAAAGTTTCACAATTAATTTAAGCATCACCAAGGTTATGAAAGGTTAAATTAATATAATTTTACTTCTTTCTGCTTTGCTTTCTTATTTTATTGATTTTTGTGTGTATGATGTGTATCTGTGTGTGCACATGAGTTTTTGGGTGAGTGCAGGTATACTGGTACCATGGCATGTGTGTAAGTGTTAAAAAACAGTCTTGGGTGTAGGTCTTCGCTTTCTGCCTTTTTGGACACAGGGTCTCTTGTTGCTTACCACTGTGTATATCAGGCTCGTCAGCACCTGAGCTTCTGGGAATTCATCTGTCTCTGCATCCAGTTTCTCTGTAGGAACACTGGGATATACACTTCTGTGCCCAGCGTTATGTGGGTTCTGGGGATCTGAACTCAGGTTCTCATGCTTGCACAACAAGCACTTTATGCACTGAGCCATCTCCCAGCCTCTTTCACTTTGCCCACAATTCACTAACAGCTAAATTTTTTCAAAGAATTATTAGCTGTTGGCCATTTAACTTCCTCTTTACATACCATATCTTAATTTTTAAAATTGTATTATTAAGGCCCACTGTATTGTGTGTGGGCTCCAGTAGGGGGGTGGCATGAAAGGGTGCTGGTGAGGACGTGGGTGATTAAGATGTTCTGTATGAAGTGCACAAAAATTCAATAAAAAAGAAAAAATGTATTTTTTTATGTTGTCATGGATTTTAAATCTCCCAGCTAACAACAATAACTTTAGTTTCTGCTCTAGGGGAAAAAAAGTTTGTGAACAATAACAACATTAAAGAGTTGCAAAGAAATCTCTTTCACAAGTGGGTGCAAGTTTTTAGGTTCACAGTTGAGTTAATACAGTTATACAATATTGAACTCAGTATAAGCCCTGTAAAGACATAAAATTGAATGAGTTTTTAACCTTTAAAACAGTTTTATATATCTGAAGAATAGTACATAGACTATTGTATTTTGGTTCTTTAACCATGACCTTAGTAGGACTTGATGCTAGAGCTTTGTGTTAGAGTAAAATAAATGAAAATACAAGTTTTTAATGAAGTTTTAAAAAGCAAAATAAAAAGCCCCACACTAGAACTAGCAGATACGAGTTCTGAAAAATTTTTTTATTAAGGTCAATTTAAGAAAGCTTATTGCAATGTGAGACATAATACATAAACTTGTGACCACTACATAAATGAAAAGTATGAGAATCTAATTTTTTATAACATTATAAAATAAAAACAGAGCCGGAATTCCATTCTCTTTTGTATCATACTTTTTTGGTTAAACAGTATTAATTTTAAATGATACTCATGTACAAAATAGGGAAAATAACCCCAGTAAATATGCTCATTTACATGATTACAGTAATAAAGGTAATATGTGACAAATATTTTCATGATGAAAAGAAAACAACAAACATTTTATACCTTGGTGTGTAATGACTTCTAAAATGTGATTTTGTAAAATAATTCCTAATGAACCAAATGTTGAATGCTGCCAACAGAACTCTATGGTGATTTTTAAGAAAGCCTTTTAGAAAGTTATTAAATATTGTCATCTAGGAAATGTGTTATTAATGGATTGGTTGGTAAAAAAAATTCAGCCAAATGAATGTAAGAAAACTTAAAATTGTTGGCTTTTGCCTACCGTACCAAGATCAGCCTTAAGATCTGTTGGCAGACTTAACTTTCTTGATCCTTTGACTGAAACAACAGAAAAAGGAAAAAGGCAGCAGTTAATTATGTGAAATTAAGGGGGAGTGTGGGAGACAGTATGTGTCATAGTATAATTAATTGCATCCTGATGATAATTACACTTACTGAGTATATATGGAAGCAGAAATATAGTTCCAATGTTAGTTGCCATTCAGCAGCAAATATTTAATATGCAAACAGACACATGAGAAAGACAGTAAATAATTAACTGAATATTTACATAGTTTAAAACACATGTCATATAAGTAATTTCCTAATAGGAGAGTACCAAAAATTGATATCAGATGTATCTAACAGGTATGTATTACAACAAATGTATAAAGCTTACATTAAGAATAAACAACACAAGGGCAAAACTGATCAACACTGTCAACATCTTTTAAATAAAAGGAAGAAAATTCCATTGCTTATGATGCAACCAATATACTATTATGTCTATGGCAGACAAAATAATGACATCAATATTGGAATACTATGATGTTGACGTTGCATAATATTTAAAATGAACTAAGTTATATTATTATAAATCAAGCAAGCTATAAAAGCATGGTTAGGTCAAGAAAATTAGGATTTATTAAAATATTGCCTTCATATTGCTAATGAAATTTTACATTGGGTACTTCATTAAATATTTAACTTCAATGGCTGTTACCATAGAAAAGCACCAGGGAAAATCACATGTGAAATCTTTTCTGTTAATATTTTATTAAGATTGAAATTGACTATCAATTAATTTATACCTGCTAGTGAGTGATTTTCTTTACAAGTAGATAAGCTACTTGAAAATAAAAATGCAGGATGGTATTACAGAAAGAATACTCCATTTAAAATGAGAAAACATGTCTTACAAAGTTCTGAATTATTATCGTGTAGTTATACAACTTTGGCAAAAGATTCTTCATCAATCTGCAGTCTAATTTTCTTGTATGTTAAATAGCATATTTGATCTTATCTATGATATTTCAACTTGAATGCACCTTATAGGAGGTTTTATAAAGCTAAATATAATATAAACTTAAACATATTTAAATTATTTTGTACATTTAGTGTCTTTGTGTGTGCGTGCACACACACACACACAAACACACTTGCCATGGTGTGCATGAGGAGGTCAGAGGACAACTTGCAGGAGTCAGTTCTCTCCTTCCACCATGTGGGTCCTGGGGATCAAATTCAGGTCTCATTAGGCTTGGCAGCAAGCACCTTTACCCATTAAGCCATCTTGCTTGCCTTTAAATATTCTTTTCTTGTGTTCTGAAATAAAATTACCTTTTGATTTTACTTCAACTATCCAAAATTGTAAGGTCCATTTGTAGTTCACAAATCGTATAAGCATACCTCTATGTTTATGTGATTTGACACAATTGCTATGGACTGCTGACTATAGTTTGCTATGCTATACTATATATAAAAGCAAACAAATATTATCACACTGATAAAGTAAAACAAACAGGCTTTTGTCTCTATAAAAAGGCATTTAAAAGTCATTCCATAAAGACTGAGAGGAAATCAAATCAGATTTTAATAGTTTGGTATTACACTTACCACCAGCAGAAACTGATGTTATTTATATTGAAATGTGACAAACTAAAAGCATTAATAAGCATACCTCACAAGAAATTGTTAATCAAATGTATTTTGGAAATTGATTCCTAAGACAAAGAGGTAATGTCCATTATGTAAAATAATTTTATTTCATAGGTTAGTTTACTTTAATGCATGAATTTCTTATTTTATTTTTAAAATTATTAATTAATTGATTAATTTGTATGTTTTTGAGACAGGGCTTCCTTGTAGCATTAGCTGGCCTGGAAATTACTATGTAAACCAGGCTGGCCTGCCTCTGCCTCTCCAGTGCTGGGATTAAAGGCCTACCCTACCATGCCTGACTTTAAAATTATTTCTATCTTGTTTTAAAATAGAATTTTTAATCTATCTATCTACTTCTCTATCTATCTATCTATCTATCTATCTATCTATCTATCTATCTATCATCTATCTATCTATCTACCATCTATCTATCATCTATCTATCATCTATCTATCTACCTGTCTACCTGTCCATCATCTATCTATCAATCTATCATCTATCTATCTATCTATCTATCTATCTATCTATCTATCTATCATCTATCTATCATCTATCTTCTATATCTATCTATCTTCTATCTTCTATCTATTTATCAAACATACTACAAAGATTCTTTCCAAAAAAGACAAATAGTCCATACTTGGCTTTAAAAGCCCAGGATTCATTTAGCAGAACAAGGCTACAATGGCAGAATCACATTCTCTAATATTCTTTTTTCTTGCTACATTTCCTCATGCAACTCAGACAGGCTTCAAACTCATATGTACCTAAAGATGCATGCTAAGCAAGCACTCTGCCACTGGACCACACCCCTAGTCCCTTTCTCCCTTATTCTTTATGATGGAACATTTGTTACCCATATTCTGGCATGTAACTTTAGGTCTCAAATCTGCCCCAGCATCTGGGATTCTTAGTGCCTACCCCAGCTACCACCTACTTTTCTGACCCTTTGTAGACTACTTCCTACCTGAAACCCACGACTATTTTCATGAAATCTTGTTCTCAATTGTGCAACTAGGGAAGGGAACGAGTGACCAGATGATAGAATTAATGAAGGAATTTCCCTAATAGCAAACCTCTGATAATAACAGACCTCCGTAATTTATGTACACAATATTCTTCCTCCCCAGTTTTCCAGAAATAAACTACTATTCATCTGTTTAATTACCCTAAAAAATTATGTTGAAGATGCAGCTTAGATTCCACTAAAAAGGCTGAGCAGTTTAGGTAAATGTTCAAGTGTCAGAAAATAAGAGGCAAATAGTATTAAGAAGTATATTTAGTATACTTATTAATACTTTGTGCCTGGCAGTAGCAGTAAGTTCTTTTCAAGTATTCTTAAATCAGGCATGTGAAAGCAAAAATCAGTTACTCTTTATTACTCCAGAGGTACAAACTGAAACAAACTGATAAAAGGTAAAGGTTGAACTTGAATAAAAGGAAATTTATGCAATGTGACCACAGTGTTTCAGTCCTCCAAAGTTCTTCATTTTTATTGCATCCTAAAATTAAATATACATATCACTATTATTTCATAATGTTAGTCAAAGGATAGAATATGACAATAGAATCTTCTTACTACTCAGTGGACTAGCAATCTACAAAAAGAAGAGAGCTGAAGAATTCTGGTTCTAAGGAGATGTTAGAGCTGCCTATGCCAATCTGCTCATCACCACAAGTGTTTCTCCTGCAGCATTCTTCCCACTGTATCTGTTTGATGGATTCTATGATATGCTGCTAGAATTGCTACAAAACTTTCTCCTCAAATCTTAACTTTTAAAATCATTTATCAATTGCCTAAGTTTGGAACAATGAGGAGTAACATCCCTCCTCTCACGTACTAGGTTTTAAAATGCCTGATGAGACAATGCCATTTCCAGGTAATCTCAGGTCAGGAAAAATTTGTATTTTAAGATGAATTACGAAAAATTACTGATGTCAAGAGCTGGAGATATGGCTCAGTGGTTAAGAGCACTGGTTGCTGAGGACCTGGGTTTGATTCCTAACACCCACATAGCAGCTAACAACCCTCCTTAACTCCAGTTCCAGGGGGATTTGACACCCTCTTCTGACCTCTGTTGGCATTGCACGACATGGGTGCACTTGACACACATGCAGGCAATACACTCATATATATATAATAAATAAATAAAATATTTAAAAAAATACTGATGTCCAGAGTTTGACAGATCACATTTTGAGAAACAATGTTATAAGCCTCCATGAATATCAACCAACCTACAGGTCTTTCCTCTGGATCCTTCAATGAGAAGCACTTCCTGCAGTGCATTTCAGATTTTCCATACAAGAGAAACCATACTGTTCTTAGTTATTACATTAGCTATATATATGGATAGATAAATAGATGTCACTTTTCTGGATCTTAAAAACTGATTAAGATTAGATTTTTTTAAAGTTAATATTTTTGGTTCTTTTATTTTTTTTCTCTTATGATATTTGATCATCTACTTTCTAATAATGAATAAAAGGTAGCAATTGTAAGGACAGTTGTGCCTCATTTATAAGAGTATTTAGAAGTATATTATTTTTTTTTGCACTACAGGATAGCACTTTCTAAGATACTGCTGTCTTTTTAAGAGTGACATCTCACACTTGTTTCACACTTGATTTATTCTCTATAAAAACAGCTGGGTCTTATTACTCATATTGCACCTCCCATAGAACAAGCTCTTTAATCCTTCACATATTCAAAAAGTGCTTATCTGGCTTACAGAAAAGTAATACAGAAAATAATATGATAAATAATTTAGGGGGGTCAGGGAATATTTTTTCAGCAAGTATTATACTTTCATCCCTCCCCAACCCCCAAACCTAATCTCCCCTGCCCTGGATTCAGACCCTGAGCTTCAAAAAGCTAGGCAAGAGCTTGACCACTCTTACTACTGAGCTCCAGCCCCACTTTCTGTTTTATGATCCTCGGTCTGTTAGACTCTGGGCAAATTATCAGATATTTATTGTTATTTTTAACATGTTCTGGCATACTTTTTGAACAAAAATAAAATTTAAAACAAAGGAAAAACCCACATATAATTACATACTACAAAGGTACATTTTATCTTATATACATTATGCCTCAATAAATCTGACAAAAAAGAAACAAAATGCAAAGTAAAGCATTCCCACATTTTACCCACACCCTACTTACCAAAGCATACCTATCAACTAATGTTTTATTTCGTTTTTCATTTTTATTTTTTGACACAGGGTCTCATGAAGCCCTATTGACTTCAATAGCTGAGGATAATCATGATCTTCCTGTTATACTTCCTGAGTGCTGGGTTAACAGGTATTTACCACCCACTCAAGTCTATGTAAGTGCGGATTTGCTTATAGCAAACTGCATGCTAATATTTATTCATAAATTCAGGCTTAAAGAT